ATCTTTAACCACAATATCGTTTGGTGACAAACATTCATCGTAGCACTCATCCGAGCTGGATATATCACTGCTTGTTTCGCTTTCACTTTCACTTTCCGCATAGTTTCCGCCACAATAGTTAGATCGTTTGGCCAATGGACGTGGCGTCGCAATCATTGGATATTTGGCTGCCTCATCCATGATATAACACTTTCGTTTCGGATCCAATTTCATCACTTTACGCGGATCGATTTTCTCTTTTCGCTTTTTTGGACGACGCTTAGCCATATCGTCTGAGTCCGTTTCACTGTCACTGTACTTTACCGAATCGCTGTCGAAGTCCACCAGCAAATCAAATGTTTCATCACAACTGATACAACTGTCCGCTATGCTGCGCGTATTGAATGTGGTGGATCGATTATTGCGACCACGATCGTTTGCTAGATCGATTGACGACGCTGATTGACGTTCGATTTCGAATTCTGCATTCAAATTGGCAACCGTTGCAAACTTGCTAAGACCACCAACGCCGTTGTCGCTGCTACCGCTGTCGCCTCTCTTACGTGCCTGCACAAAATCGAACGGATTTTCCGATGCATTGTCGGTCGATTGGTTCGCCCCCGCATTTGAATTTAATTTCGATTCATTATCATTACCACGGTCTGATAATTTCGATGCAATTTGTTCGGTCAATGCAATCGATTCCGATGCAGCCGATGTGTCTGCGTCCGTGCTTTCTGTGGCATTGATTTCACTTTCGAACGACGATGCGGATTTTACTTTGACAATTTCCCTGCCATTTGCATCTTTTTTAGCGACCTTTTTCTTGAGCTTTGCCTTTGTTGGTGATGCTTTATCACCAGCCGACGCTGCGGCCGTTTTCTTTGCCACTTTTTTCAATTTTGGCTTTGTTTCATTCGTTGGCATTTTCTCTGCATTGAAATCATTTGATGAGTCTGCTGATGTGGTTTTTGGTGGTGTTTTTGTTGCTGCTAGTTTTGCCGAACTTTTGTTATCGTTTTCAGTTTTCATAGGCGATGCAGATTCGGTAGACATTGCCGTTGCCGTTGCCGTTGATATGATTTGTTTCTTTTTCGGCTTCGGTTTTTCTAGTTCTACTTGCTCGGTTGTTATTGTTGTTGTTGTCGGTGGTGGTGCTTCTACAGTTTCTACTGCTGTTTTGTTGGCTTGTGGCCCAGTCTCTAAATTTAGATCGGCGGTTTGCATCATCGTAGGTGCTTTCACATCACTTTTGTCTGTTTGTTTATGTTCGTGACAAGCCGTTTCACTGATACCGTTGTCTCTGGTGCTGCCGTTGCCGCTGTCGCTCGTAACATTTTCTACTACATTTATTGGGCATATCGTCGATGTTGTTTTCTCGATACTGCCACCACCACTGCTATGACTTTCCATCGGTTTTATTTCCATTGGTTTGGCAATCGTTTCCTTGTTACCTAAGGCATTTTCAGATTTGGTCAGCGGCGGCGGTTGCGGCTGCTTCGAAATCACTTGTGATGTGACGATTCCTTTGCTGGTTGCCATTCCGTCAACGGTCTTATTATTCAAATTGTCGTTTTTCAAATTCTTTTTCAGCTGCACTTTATTTCCTACAACTTTTTCTTCTTCGCTGATTGCCTGTGCCACTCGTTTGTTAATATCTGTTGGCGTTTTGCCTTCCGTCTTTACATCGACTTTTGCATCATGTTTTTCAGTTTGTTGCGACAACGACGACGACGACGACGACGACGACGATGCATTTGATCTACTTTCAATCGATTTTTTCGCACCATTCTTGGTCACTTGTTCATCATCGCCATTTTTGTCATTGAGTATTTCGATGATTTCGATTTCATTGCGTTTTAAATCGACCTTTTTCTTGAAATAAATCGATTCACGTCGTCCAATTAAATGCCAAAAATCGTCATCATTTTCCGAAGCGTTGACTGGTTTCGATGATTTTGCTGCTGTTGCTGTTGCTGTGGCCGCTGTATCATCATCATCTTTTTGACCGGTGCGCTTGGTCGGTAGATTCAATGTAACATCTTCTTCGATTTCCTCAACCACAGCTCGCCAAGTTGGGCTTATTTTGGTTCCGCTCGCTGGTGGCGTTTGAATTGAAAGTGGTGGCTCCTTTGGATTCTCCACTTCCACGGTCACCGTAATTTTATGCTTTAATTTTCCGCCTTTTTTCTTCGTTTTCTTCTTAATCACAATCACATTTTCGACGGTGTTCGGCGTTTCTGTAGGTTTCTCTTCGACTTTTTCCACTGTGGCAGCTAATTCTTTTTTTTCGGCCGATGAATTCTTTTCTCTCAGTTTTTCTGCGTCTGCTTTTCCTTGTTCAGCTTCTTCGGCGGCCGAATCTTCACCGATCGTTTCGTCGACGGTCACATCGGCGGATGGTCGACGCATTTGCGTTATTTGTGCTAAAATCTGTGCCTCTTGTTCGAGAATTAATGATGCACGTCGACGTAAATCGCCTGCATTCAAATCGTCTTCGACTTTGATCTCCGATTCGGAAATTTCTTTGCAAATATCTTTGAAGCTCGGGCATGTGATTAGACTCTGGCGTCGAATGGATTTTCGTATCAACGGTTCCAAATAGGTGATCTCCTGTTGCGTTACATTGTCTGGAATTCGTACGATGGTCGACTGTGTTGGATCCACAGGAACTTTTAATGTATTGTTTTTGTCACGAATTATATGACGTTCGAGAATCAATTCACCGGGTGTTTTGCGCACGACTTTTGTTGTGTTCGTTTGCAGTGAGTCGCCAAATTTGTCACGCCACGATCGTTTTACAGGTGATTTTGTGTCATTTTCCGCTTGAAATTCATCCGATTCTTGGCTGACGCTCTTTTTAAACGAATTGGAATTTTCATAAGTCGACGGTGTTGATCGTTTGTTGTTTTTCTCATTTTTGATCGAGTCTCTTGAATTGCGATTGCTGTGTGATTGACTACGCTGACGCATTGTTGATAATCGAACAATGTTTCGATCCCGTTTGATTGTGGCTCGTGCATTGATGGGGTCATTTTGATCAACGCGTGGCATAAATGCTGAATTATCGGTTTCATCGACGACGGCGGCGGTGCCATCCTTTCCATTCTCCTTTTTAGCCGCTTCCGGTGAAGTGGATCGAATGCGAGCGTTTCGATGTCGATGGAATTTCGATGCCGAAACATCAATATCGGCTGTGTCTATGTGAATGGGACGTGGTGACACGTAGGTGCCGGGTGATCGAAGAAAATTGTATGTCTTGCCGGAATTGATGCGGGTTAATGAAGTCAACCCGTTTGAACGGATTGATGATGGTATCGGACTTTCGGATATTGACGTGAGCATCGGTTTGAATTGGCCATCTTTGGAGTAAATGGCCGGTCTTGGCGGTGGCGGTGTGTATGGATTTAAGCGTGAATACGGTGAATATGGTGACATTGACGTCGAATGGATTGGAGTGCGATTCGATGAGTAAACCGCATTATTTGGTATATAATAACTCAATTCACTATAAAGAGGCATCTTGCTCCACTTTTTCTGTGTTTTCTTTCTTGGTGTCTGTTCTTTTTTGGGGCTTTCCGAACACAAAACAACAATTTCTCAAAACTCAACCGTTTTTATTTTATGTGTTTATCATTATGTAATGTCGTTAAATCGTTTAGTGTTTCAACTTGGACTTTCCGCCATGTTCATTTTCAATATTAAAATAGTTCAAATTTCATTTTCTATTCCTTTTCACCAAAAATAATTTTACAATCAATTCTATTCTAAACATCAAACAATTCTTTATTTTTGTTTGCTTTGTTTTGTTTTTCTCCGTTTAAATTGTTTCTCTTTTATTTAAATTTTTGATTTTTTTTCTCGTTTCATTCGTAGTGAAATGCCACGTCACATTGGCAACGCACTCGCGAAAAGAATCAACTGAATAGCGGCGAGAACAACAACAACGACGACGTCGAAAATAAAGTAAGAAATTGGCCGTATTATGCGAAATTATGTTTGCTGTTTTAACGATTTAGCGCACACACAAAACCACTACTCTCAACTAAATAAGTGCAAAAGGCGAAGCGAACTCATGTAAAATGTCGATATGCGTGCAAAACAAAACTATGAAATGGCCAGTAGCAGCATTTTTGTAGCGAAGAAAGAAGAAAAATGTGCAGATGGCTACGACGACGACGATTGGGACGCGCAAACACAAGACACAAACTTATCTCTATGTATTATTCAATATGACTGACTTGATCGGTACAGAAAACATAGCTGAAAAGTGCTACGGCGGCGCTTTTCCTCGTTTTTCGTCTCATTTTCTATCTTCGTCACGCGATTCAAACCCAACAAGCCGTCGTTTTCACTGCTTTGCGCGTCATTTTAATGGTGATTCGTATGGTTTTCTTCTTTTTATTTTTCTTCGCTTTCTTTCCTCTTTTCTTCGTTTTAATTTCCTTTAAAAAATATTTTTAGTTTTTCACTTGTGTCTGGGTGCCGTGTGTTCATTTAATCGACTTGCCTCTTCGGCAGCAGCCCAATCTATCTTTGTATGTATGAAAATGAACTCTCTCGCACATCCATTTTCAATCTCTCTCTCTCTCTCTCTCTCTCTCTCTCTCTCTCTCTCTCTCTCT